CTCATCATAGCACTGAAACAGCTCTGGTGAAAGTCACTAATGATATTCTCATGGCCTCAGATAATGGACTTGTATCTGTGCTCGTCCTGTTGGATCTTAGTGCTGCATTTGATACAGTTGACCATAATATTCTTTTAGAAAGACTTGAATATTTTGTTGGAATTAAAGGAACAGCACTAGACTGGTTTAAATCTTATCTATCTGATCGAATTCAGTTTGTTCATGTTAATGATAGATCTTCAACACGCTCAAAGGTTACCTGTGGAGTACCACAGGGATCAGTGCTAGGACCAATTCTCTTTACTTTATACATGCTCCCAATTGGTAGAATTATTAGACAGCATGGGATTAATTTCCACTGTTATGCTGATGATACCCAGCTATATCTGTCTATAATCCAGATGAAGCTAACCCATTACATAGATTACAGGCATGTCTGAAGACATAAAAACCTGGATGACTCTTAACTTTCTGCTTCTGAATGCAGACAAAACAGAAGTTATAGTCTTTGGACCAGAGTCTCTGAAAAAGAAACTGATTAGCCAGTCACTTCATTTGGATGGGATTAAACTGATTTCAGATAATAAAGTAAAAAATCTTGGTGTTATTTTTGATCAGGACCTGTCATTTAAATCCCATATCAAAGAGGTTTCTAGAATTTCCTTCTTTCATCTGAGGAACATTGCAAAAATTAGAAATATCCTGTCCAGGGGTGATGCTGAGAAACTAGTCCATGCATTTGTTACTTCAAGGCTGGACTATTGTAATTCTTTACTATCAGGAAGTCCACAAACTGTAGTTAAAAGCCTTCAGCTGATCCAAAATGCCAGAGTTCTGATGAAAATTAAAAAGAGAGATCATATCTCTCCTATCCTGGCTTCTCTTCATTGGCTTCCTGTTAAATCAAGAATAGAATTTAAAATCCTCCTTCTCACATATAAAGCCTTAAATGGCCAAGCTCCATCTTATATCAGAGATCTGATTGTTCCTTATGTTCCTAACAGAGCACTTCGCTCTCAATCTGCAGGTTTACTAGTGGTTCCTAGAATTTCTAAAAGTAGAATGGGAGGCAGATCTTTTAGTTATCAGGCTCCTCTCCTGTGGAACCAACTACCAGTTTTAGTCCGTGAGGCAGACACCCTGTCTACTTTTAAGGCTAGGCTTAAAACTTTCATTTTTGATAAAGCTTCTAGTTAGAGGGGCTCAGGTTATCCTGAGCTATCTCTATAGTTATGCTGCTATAGGCTTAGACTTTTGGAGGACATAGGGACCCCCATTTCATCATTCTGCTTCATTCTCTCTCTGTTCTCCTATTCTGCAGAATCTGTTAGTTCAATCTCTAACCTTCTGCTCTCTCTGCTTTTCCTCAGAGTAGCTTTGCCTCGTCTGTTCCTGTTTGGCTGTGACGTCATCCTGGAAAAAAACATCAGCTGTGCTGCTTCTATCAACACCCTTGTTAATAGATGTTGGAGATCGGCCTGTTTTCCAGTGTGGTCCTGTTTCTCTGACCGTGACTGAGTGGATGTGCTCTCTTCGTCCTCTGGCATGGGAGCTGCCTTGGAGCTCGTCTGCCTGGCTGTGTGTTTCCTGGACGGGGCCGCCTTTTACAGCTGCTTTTTGTATCTCTGCTTCTGTCTCCTTGAACCCCAGTCGGCCTCGGCAGATGGCCGCTCACACTGAGCCTGGTTCTGCTGGAGGTTTCTTCCTGTTAAAAGGGAGTTTTTCCTCTCCACTGTCGCTACAAGCATGCTTAGTGTGGGGGATTGTATTTGAGTCAATGAGTCAATGCAATCAACTGGTTTTCCTTAGATAGAAAACTTTGTATCAATTTGACTGTATGATCTGGTTGAACTGTAAAGTGCCTTGAGATGACATGTGTTGTGAATTTGGCGCTATATAAATAAACTGAATTGAATTGAATTGAAGGTCCAAAACATCCAGTTTGCAGGATGACTTCCTGCCGAGAGGCAAAGACAAAAAAGTTTAAGACTCAGGTTGACAAAAACTCAGTTTGACTCAGCAAAACTCAGCTTGGCTAGAGTTCCTAAAACTGGCAAACACTCTGGCGTCGAGCTAGTGAAAGTCAGCAGCTCAAGAGTCCTCTGGTAATGAGAAAACCATCCGCAGGTGTGTGAGGAGGCCAACGAGAACCAGGCGCCACCTGGTGGTGGAGGGAAAACAAACAAAAGCACAACCCACACAAACGGGATTCCTAACAGTACCCCCCCCTCAACGACCGCCACCCGGTGGTCCAGAAGAACCGGAGGGCTAACAGAGGTGGAAGTCCCTAATGAGGGAGGGGTCCAAAATAAATGATCCCGGGACCCAGGAACGATCCTCAGGACGTAACCCTCCCAATCCACGAGGTATTGCCACCCATGCCTATGGGGACGAGCATCCACAATGCGCCGGACCCGTAGGCGGGGTGGCCATACCATACCAACTTTATTTATGAAGCACTTTATGCACCGGACAGGACCAAAGTGCTGTACACAATCATAAAATACAATTAAATTATAAAATAGAAAAAAAACGAGTGTAAAATACATATTAGTATATAAAGAGAATAAAACAAAGTGAAACCTCTCAATTTGTGCCAAAAGCCAAGGAAAAAAGATGAGTCTGTATTCCAGCGACTCTCTCAGAGCTTAAAACTCCTTATGCAGGACTTCTACCAGGGCGAGGCGGGCGTCCAAGCTGCTTAGCTTTTTGTCGATGGATTCCAGGACGTCGCCGTAGCTCCTGTCTGGAGACAAAGTAGAGGTAGAAGCAGCACTGGCTGAACTAGACCGACATCGTAGACGGTGTGTTTGTGGATGTGGGATTCCTGGGCTTCCACATTACCATGTTGTCAAAACACTCGTCCAGGTAGCTCTCCAGGCTCGTCAAGGTATCGTCTTCCAGTTTGTTCCCTCGGAAATACGGGACAATTGTTAAATTTTAAACCTACTTTGTTTTATTTACATTTATTGGCTTACTTACCTGAGTGGATTTGTTTTTTTGAATTACCTGTATGTCGACATTTTACTTACGCACACAGCTCTCCCACTGTTTCTACCCAGTCTGCATCGCCTGCCTGCCCATCCCGGGCTACTGTCTTAGAATTTAAAATCCTCCTTCTCACGTATAAAGCCTTAAATGGCCAAGCTCCATCTGATATCAGAGATCTGATTGTTCCTTATGTTCCTAACAGAGCACTTCGCTCTCAATCTGCAGGTTTACTAGTGGTTCCTAGAATTTCTAAAAGTAGAATGGGAGGCAGATCTTTTAGTTATCAGGCTCCTCTCCTGTGGAACCAACTACCAGTTTTAGTCCGTGAGGCAGACACCCTGTCTACTTTTAAGGCTAGGCTTAAAACTTTCCTTTTTGATAAAGCTTCTAGTTAGAGTGGCTCAGGTTATCCTGAGCTATCTCTATAGTTCTGCTGCTATAGGCTTAGACTGCTGGAGGACATAGGGACCCCTTTTTCATCATTCTGCTTCATTCTATCTCTATTCTCCCACTCTGCAGAATCTGTTAGTCCAATCTCTAACGTTCTGCTCTCTCTGCTTTTTCTCATAGTAGCTTCATCTGGTCTGTTCCTGTTTGGCTGTGACTCCATCCTGGAGAGAAATATCAGCTGTGCTGCTGCCATCAACACCTTTGTTTCTAGATGTTGGAGCTTGGCCTGTTTTCCAGTGTAGTCCTGTTTCTCTGACTGTGACTAACTGAATGTGCTCTCTTCATCCTCTGACATGGGAGCTGACTCGGAGCTCGTCTGCCTGGCTGTGTGTTTCCTGGACGGGGCCGCCTGTGGAGCTGGTTGACAGTTGCCTTTTGTATCTATGCTTCTTTTTCTATGTCTGCTTCTGTCTCCTTGAACCCCAGTGGGCCTCAGCAGATGGCCGCTCACACTGAGCCTGGTTCTGCTGGAGGTTTCTTCCTGTTCAAAGGGAGTTTTTCCTCTCCACTGTCGCTACAAGCATGCTTAGTGTGAGGGATTGCTGAAGAGTCAACGAGTCGATGCAATCAGCTGGTTTTCCTTAGATAGAAAGTCTGAGGGAGACTGACAGTCATGTTGAGCTTCTTCCATTTTCTAATGAAGCTCCAACAGTGGAGCTTTTTTCACCTGTAGTCTTTCCAGCCTTGTGGAGGTGGAACTCAGATCCGGGATGCTACTTGAGGGTTCCCTTTATCTCTCTGAGCAGTGCATGTGTTTGTGTGCAGCGTTTTAATGGGCTGTAGTCAGCATTCTGTAAATGTTAAAATGGCTGCAAGTAGATGTGCAATGGAACATCAGTGACCCTCCTGCAAATCCAGCAAAGATACAGCAGGCAGTGTCTGAATGTAAGTTTATTCCTACAGAGACGTATTTCTGCTGGATAAATTTCCTCAACTGCCAACAAACATCATCTTTCTTTGAGTTATGTTGTTATAGTGTCTGATTTATGTAGGATAATATCAGTTAACATTTCTGTTATATTGTAATCCTCTTTATCTACATTTTTTGTCAAACTAAGAAGAAATATCTGAAAGAAAAATGAAAACTAACAACGGGCCGTCCAGTAAGATAGCACCCCCCCCCCCCCCCACCCCAAGTTCCTTTTTAAAACAAAACATAGAAAAACTTAGTTTCATGCATTTTATTACCATTAAATATTGCGTACAATTATCAAGCACTTCTGAAAAAATATATATATACTTACACACAAAACTAAAAGTAAAATGTAATTAGGTAATATTGAGACTAGTGTTGCTCCGATGCCATTTTTTGGCCCCGATTCCCGATACCTGGCTGTTCCGATCGGCCCATACCGATACCATCTGATTGAAATCGATGTGTGTGTTTATATGAGGAACTGCATCCTGCTTGGATGTAAAATAATCACCATCACGGCTTCATCAAGCTGCTGCCTTCCTTAGTGAAGCAGGAAAAAGACTAAATCAAAGTGAATCCAGTAGAACTTTTTATTGCCTACCTGGAATGGGGACAATAGTTGAGGAAACTTATGGCTCTGCTGGATCGGGGGCCCCGCCCCATACTGGTATCGGTGCAACACTAGTTGAGACTACCCATGATTAAACAAAACTCTTATTTCTTTTAGAGTGAATCTTTGGTAACAATGGGAATAAACAGCCTTCATGTACTACAGGCTAAAACATCAATCAGCACTGCTTTATATAAAGAATATAGAGATATTAAACATAAGAGAAATATTACCAGGGTATTAACTGTACCCTATATTGACCAATTATTGTTAAAGGCAAAGATATTAAAAGCTGGTCTTAGTTCAGAGTTTCTGTCTCTTTAATCACGATCCACCTCCTTCCACTCTGATGGATAATTGTCTTTTCTAGGTGGCAGCAAGTCATAATCACAGGAGCTGTTTTTTGCTTGGTCAAATAGCTCCTCCCCCAGCTGCTGATGCTCAAACGCTGCTCCAGAGGATGGGAAGGTTTCTGTGCTCATGTCTGAAATCAAGCAAGAGGTGCAGAAAGTCATAGTAAAGCCCTTCCTGTGCAGAATATACCCAGTTTCTAGTGGTAAACTTCAACATCATGAACAAAACCTCGTTAAGGTACATTCACACCAGACGCAGAAGCAAAGGATTTCCATCTTATTTTTCTGTGGAGCAAAACTGAACAAAGCAAAGGTGGAGAAGTTAGCGAGGCGAGTGGAACGACTTCATGAAATTTGGTTTGCATGGAGATTAAGCTAAGCGAACTTTGAAAATCTGAAGCTTTTTCAGATTTGCATCAAGAAATTCAGTCAGGGACAAGATGTGGCTGTGAGTCTGGTGAAGAAGGCAGTGGAGACAGAGAAGATCATTTTGACAAAGGTTTAAGGTGGAATGCTGTAGTTTTAAGGTGCCTCATAAAAAAGCCATTTAAATGTAGTCCTGGAGGGACTGTATCTCTATCCTACCTCCAGCACTGACAGCTGGCAGCCGATGCCTTCTCTCCCCTTCTCCATCGCTCTCTCTCTGCCCAGTAGACTCCTCTGATCTTCTGGTGTTATCCTTCCATCTCCTACTGTTAGCCTCTAGAGGCTAGCCCTAGCCAGTCATATTCTCCATGCTCTGTCTCCCTGGAGGCCTCTGTAATGTACCGCTATCCTCCCAGCCTGTCCTCAGCCTACAGCAGCTCTGTTTGCCCAGTTGATATATTCGATCTACCGCCGTCCTCCTCCTATCCACCGCAGTTCGCCTCTATAACTAGTCCAGGTCAGTTGGCTTCTCCAATCCACTGCTGTATCACTGAAAGCCACTGTCATCCAGTCATGGCTTCCGGAGGAGGTGGTTCTGTACTACCTACTGGTTCTGTCTCTGGGAATCTGGTGAACCCAGGGAGGCTGACGGCTTTGTTTGGCTTTCAAAAATAAAAAGAACTGTGAATCACTTCGCAAATCCCAGTCTGCAATGTTGAGGTCAAACCAGCAACCAGTGGACTCCATGATGAAGGAGCCTTTTGCTGGTCAGGTGAATTTCAAAGTGAGCAAAACTGAAATTTCCACAGAATTCACGTTTGGTGTGAATGCACCCACAGCTGAAACTAAGAGAACAGAAGCTTCTCCAAATTGAATGTTTTCATTTCTGGTACCTAAACTAGCAGAAACATGAGAGACCAGATTCATGCACTGTATGTATAGCTGTGATATGCAGTGGGAAATGAACAGTAGGTGCTGCTGTGGGATGGGACACTTCTGCTGGTGTGACCACCCTGCAGCACCGAGAACACGAGGGAGAATTCTGAGGGTTAGCAGGTTCTCTGGGTTCAGATGCAAACTGTTGATTCTACTCAATGCAAATGTCCCTGAGGCATCTGGCTGCAGATGCAATTAAATATGAGTAAAACGATGAGCTGATTACTCTGAACAAGCTTACGTCTGCAGGGCTGTCAACTCTCACCCATTGGGTGTGAGACTCACGCGTCTTAGTGTCTTTGCAAGCTCTCCCTCCATATCCACAATTAAAAAATGACGCACAGTAAAACTCAACTCCATTCCACTTATTTATATGTAGAAACACCACGTTGATAAAAACACGGTCCACGTTTTCAACACAACCTTAGTGCTAACACATAATGACCCTGTTCACTGCGCTGAGAGCAGCGGAGCTGCGGGACCTGCGCCAGATATCGAATAAATACCGGGCAGATACTACCAGGTATGTCTTTTTAATTTATCTCATTTTATCTGGACTAGGTTCATTCATTTAGTAAATTAATCATTTTAACCAGTCTAGCACTTGAGTAAATATGAATAAAATATGCAGCATTTAGCTTAAATTATAATGTGGAGACTGAGTGTAGGATCACATCAAAAGGTTTGTTTTCTCTATACCTGGTGCTTTTTTTTATTGTTTTACTCCTTGTTTGCTGTAGTTTTTCCTCCAGTTTTAGTCACAGTTTTGCTCAAACTTACATAATTATTACTCAGGCTAGTTGAATAATCTCCCGTCTGATTTTAGGACTAATAAAACCAACAGAAATCTCTAAATTCTTCAAGCTTTCAGGTTTGCCTCACAAACCAACAGGAGGTCCACAAAAGGAAAAGAAGCATAACATTTCATTTTTTAAAGATCAGCAGCCAAGAAAAGTCCAACCAGATAGACACAGAGAGGATGAGCATTGATAGAGGAGGAACCACAGGGATGTTCTCATCTCATTAGTAATTAAATTATTCATTTATCTTCATTTTGGTCGATTTAATGTTTTAAAACTTATTTTCATCACATCTCCCAAACTGAAACATCCATAGAAATGCTGTCTGCTGTCATGGTGAGTTTTTATTGAATCTACAGCCTCCTGGAAGGTCTGAATTATTTAGCTGTTTTTTGTCAATTGTAAAAATCTAATAAGTTAATGACTTAAGATGTTTTTAATCCTATTACCAAAGATCAACACACAGTGTAGTCTGCATGGGATTGAACTGCACTGGTTCTGGTATCAGATCCAGTAATAACTCATTAGTTCCTCATTGTTTATTCTACGTGAACTTCATAGAATAATTGATAAACTAAGTTGTGAAATTCTTTATTTACAGTAAATGTAAGATCCAAGTATTTTAGTAGGTCCATTCTTCTTTATTTCAATTCTCTGAAAATCACCAGAATATAGAAAATAATGTTAATTGTGTGAAAGATTTTCCACATAATTACAGATAACTTATTCAGTAATATTTACTGAGCTATAATAATTCAACATTTTTCCATTTTGTTTCAGTTAAACCGTCTGAAAACCTCCAACCTTCAGCTGCACCTGTCCTCATCCAACCCTGACACGGTTTCCTGTCCAAACTATTTCTGAATCTCACTCCAAGGTTTGGGGAAAAGTTGGCAGCCCTGCGTCTGCAGATCTAATCTTTTATTTTGTTAGAAAACAGAAACAAGCCTTGTTATCTAAACCCAGCAAAGCAGAATAACTACATTATGCTGATGAAGGTTCTCAGTCATCCAGGTCAAAGTCATTCCGTAAAAATTCAAAAAATATCCACTGGACTTGGTTTCTTAGGAATGCGCACAAAAAGCTGCTTAGTGAGAGGATTAGACAGACTCACTTCACAATTGAAGCTATCTCGCACAAAATAGATCAGACAAGGCAGAAGCTATCCAAACTTCTCCCCGAAACCTTGTTTGAAGAAGTTGCCAGGCTGGTCAATAAAGCCAAGCTTTCGCAACATCATAAAACAAAAGAAAGACAAAAAGCCAAATTCCAAAGATAACAACAGAAAGCAGCATTTAAACAAGAGAGCAACATGACTAAGGAGGATAACATCAACATCAAGGTTGAAGACAAGTGGGTAAAAAACCTATCTAGCAGACCACTGACAAAACCAGAGATGGATGTACTGAGTAAAGGCCTGAATTTTGCCATTGCTCCACAAGAAGTACCCATTGTGGAACTGATCACGGCCACTGAATCGGCCATCAGGAACAACAACCTGGCTGAAACGGAGGCAGAGCAACTCAGAATGAAGTAACAGCTACCCTGTCCAGCGCCAAACCACCTCCTTCCAACCTCACACCCCAGGAAATGAAAGCCATAACATCCCTGAGCCAGGACCAAAGCATCACCATATTACCAGCAGACAAAGGAAGATGCACCGTGGTCCTCAACACCTCAGACTACCAAGACAAAATTATCACTCTACTGAAGGACAGTAATACGCATGAATCCTTGAAAAGAGATCCAACCAGCGGCTACAAAAAGAAAGTAATAAACTATCTCAAACAACTTGAAAAAGACACGGTAATTAACAGCACAGTCTATTTCAGATTATATCCAGGGGAGGAAATTCCAGCTTATATGGACTTCCAAAAATTCACAAAGAAGGGGCACCACTCAGGCCCATTGTCATCAGCATTAACTCAGTAACAGACAACATTGCTAAACAGTTTACTAATATCTTAGCTCCCTTGGTGGGAAACACACCACATCACATAGAAAACTCCAAAGACTTTGCCAACAAAGCCAAACATTTAAGGATGACACCAGGAGAAACCCTGGTATCGTTTGATGTTACTTCACTTTTCACATGCATACCTATAACAGAGGCAGTGGAAACAGTCAGGACACGTCTTGAACAAGATAGTGATTTAAACAACAGGACTAATTTCACTCCGGACCAGATCTGCACACTACGGGGCCTTTGTCTTTCCACAACCTATTTCACATTCAGAGGTAATTTTTACAGACAGAAGCATGGCTGCGCAAAGGGATCTCCAGTATCACCAATTGTAGCCAATCTTTACATGGAAGAAATGGAAAAGAGAGCTTTAGACACTTTCAATGGGACACCACCAAGCCATTGGTTTAGATACGTGGATGACACTTTCGTCAAAATCCAACTAGAGGAAGTGGAAGCTTTCACCAAACACATCACCTCTGTTGACCGTAACATCAAATTCACCAGAGAGGATGCCGAGGACAACAAACTACCCTATCTGGACTGCCTGGTGAGCATGGAAGGAGATGGAAGCCTAAACATTGAAGTGTATAGGAAACCTACTCACACAGACCAGTATCTTCTTTTTGACTCACACCACCCACTGGAACACAAACTCTCAGTCATCAGAACCTTACAACACCGGGCAGAACATGTCCCTACTAAAACAGATGGGAAGCAAAAAGAACAGAAACACATCAAAGATGCTCTCCGAAACTGTGGATATCCAAACTGGGCTTTTATCAAATCAGCAAGGAAATCCAAAAGACACGCAACAGAAGACAGCGATGGGAAAATTAAACGCAAAAACATCACAATCCCTTATGTTGCTGGAGTGTCTGAAAAGCTCAAGAGGATTTTCTCCAAACACAAGATCCCAGTACATTTCAAGCCAAACCAAACCCTTAAACAGAGGCTAGTGCATCCGAAAGATAAAACCCCCAGACCCAATATGAGCGGAGTGGTATATGCTGTTCAATGCAGCGAGGAATGATCTGATCTTTATATTGGAGAAACCAAACAACCTCTCCACAGACGCATGGCCCAACACAGAAGAGCGGCCGCCTCGGGACAAGACTCCGCAGTACACCTACACCTTGTGGACAAAGGACATTCTTTTGAGGACCAGAATGTCCATATTCTGGATAAAGAAAATAGGTGGTTTGAGAGGAAGGAAGCCATCTATGTTAAGAGAGAAAAACCAACTTTAAACAGAGGTGGTGGACTCAGATTCCAGCTTCCAAAAACATACAATTCAATCATAGACATGATCCCTTCCAGATATCACCAAACCCCCCACCCCATCACAGAGGAACGAGGGACCTACCCGCTCCAGCCGGTGAACAATACCTCCTTAACGACCGACCCTTAACAATCATACACAGGTTTCAGGTATTATAGGAGACAATCCCCCCCTTAATGACAATCCCCCCTTTAACGACCGACCCCTAGATTCATAGACAAGTTCAGATATTACAGGCTAACGATGGAACTAACGACCCACTCATGGTTGCCATTTGCATGTTTCCAAGCGATACAAGGCCTTGTCTATATAAGACTCAAACTCAATGCGGATCCAGACATTTGAATTGAGAAAGCTTCCTGGAGAGGTGGAGAAACGTCTTCAAATCTTGAAAACCAAGTCCAGTGGATTGTTTTTTAATTTTTACTGAATGAATAACTACATTCTAATCATGTTTATAAGGAAATGCATAGAAAAAACCCCACCCAGCATTAAACTACTTACCTGCTTCATCAACCCTCTGGCTGTTGCTAATCTCTGCATAGCTGGAATCCCTCCTGGTGGGGGGTTTCATTTCCATGTAGCTACATTCTGTGTTTGTAGATGTTGGCAGGGGAGGGTCCTTTATGGTAGCATATGGGTTTTCAGAGCTGGCGAGTGAATATGAGCTTGAAAGATAGTCTGCAGTTTTCACCATGTCTGAAAAACAAACAGGAGCTGGTTTTCCATTCTATCAGCGCTAAGATGTACAGCTGAGCCGAAATGCAAAACTCACCCCGAATAGCATTCATGTCGACTCCACATGCTCCTAAAACGAAGAAAAGTTCACATGACGTTATAGAATATCTGAAAAGAATTAGTAAAATAAACAAGTTAAATTTGTAGTTCTTAAAAAAACACCTTCAGGAAGGAATCAAAGCATTGCAAATAAAGATTTGAAATGTTCGTCCAACTTTCAAAATAAGAGTAAAACCAAAGTATGGGTGAAAAGCTTATAACCAGAGTCCATCAGGATGATGTCTGCGTGTAAAGAGTATTTATCAGCGTGTGCAGCGTATATTTAGGTATCACTCATGTTTTTGGATCGTTGCTCAGGACTGCAGCAGTTGTTTGGAGTTTTTTTCAAAATGTCCAACATGAACTATAGTTTTTAAAGACAAGATGAATAGTTGAATCGAATATAAACAGTTATAATGGAATTCTAAAATAAAAAGCTTTCCCTGAGGTTTGTATCCGTCTGGACTCACCCAGCTCAGGGAAGGCGGCGTCTCGGTTCCAGTTTCTCAGCTTTGCTGCAGAATGAACACCCAGATCCACACCCTCCATGTCAGGAAACAGAGGGCTGCAGAGCTGCAGAGATTCAGGAAATGACAAGAGTCACACTTTAGGGTCAGGGAGGGGGGGGGCGGCCCAAAACTGAGGGGTCCCTTAACCATTTCAGGGTCACCCTATGCCCACAGTGAACCTATATCTGTATTTAAATCCCTGAGGATGGAGCAGGTTTTCATGAGGCCCGTATTTACAGATCGCTTCGACATAAACTATACATGAAATGGGTCGATTGGTTGATCTTCATTTCATAGAAGACTCCTAAATAACAGCAGAGATCAACTCTACCCTATAAAACAAAAACTAATTCATTAATGAGCATCAAGAGATGATAGATTGTGAAAATAAACATTCGACTGTGGAAAAGAAGCACATCAGCGCTGGTCCCGCCAACAAGGGCCAGTGCCCCTATGGAACTGCCTCTGGCCCTTGTACTAAAATACATACAGCAGAAATGGAAATATAAGCAGGCTAGTTGTTATTACTTTATTTGGCCTTGATTTAAGGAGGAAAAACAATTTGCATATGGACTAGGAGGATTTATATATAAAAGAAGAAAATAAAAATCTCTATAATTTCATTTTAAGTGCATATTATCTGATTACCTTATTCTAAGAGGCAGGGTCATTTTATTTCTATAGCACAATTCAGTACGTGTACAATAATCTGAGCCAAGGGGAGCATGTATATGTTGAATAGGAGGGGCCCCAGAATGGAGCCTTGAGGAACCCCACAGGTGATTTTTCTGGTCTCTGATGTAAAGTTCCCTACTGACTCATAGAAGTCCTTGTCCTTCAGGTAGGATTTAAACCAGAAAGGCCCACCCACTTTTCCAGACGCTCTAATAAAATCCAGTGATCAACAGAATCAAATGCTGCACTGAGGTCCAGTAATACCAGCACTCTGGTTCTTCTCTTTATACGGATCTCAGTGAACACCTGAATCAGGGCAGACTCTGTACTCTGGTTGCTATGGAAACCTGACTGGAAGACGTCAAAGCAGCTGGTCTTTGTTAAGAAGGCATTTAACTATGTTTATGTTTCTTCCCCACCGCCATTAGACTGCTGAATGTTTTGTAAAATAGATTATTCTATTGTATTTTATTATATTTATTATATTTTAACATTACATTAAAAAAAAGTTAGAACTGTACATCTGTAAGTCATATGTTTATATATATATATATATATATATTAGGGGTGGAACGGTTCACAAAATCGGTTCGGTTCACGGTTTCGTGGTCAAAGTTTTCGGTTCGGTTCGGTATATGTTTATTGTTACACCGAAAAATAAAAAATAATAATAAACATAATAAAAATTAATTAAAAATAAAAATTTATGAAATTAATGAAAAAATCCCAAAAAATTAATGAATTGTAATTATTTTTAATGATTCACGGAAACCCTGGATCATTTCCGCATGTTTTGCTGCTTTGAATTTAATCATCTGGCGCATGCCCTCTACCATCTCCAAGGAACTCAGAGCGGAGCGGACGAAGCCACAGTGGAGGCTGTAGGCTTTGCTTTGAGCAGCCGGTCTGGAGCGCAGTGGGGCGGAGCGCTGACGGAGTATGAGGGATTTCGGGGTTAGCATGACATGTTAGTTGTGTTGCTGTTAGCATAAACAAAACGTGTTGCGCAATGCTTGCACACTGTTGCACTTTTATCCCCAGCTTTCTTTCCGCCGTCATCGTAGGTCACTCTAAATGCAAAGTGGTCCCATACAGCAGACCTATAAAGTGCTGCTGGCGCGTCTTCCAACTCCTGTTCTTTTCCACTCGCCATACCCACACAATTCTCCACAACAACTGATTTTATTCTGCTACACCCGGCTACGCTGCTTCGCTTCTTCTTCTTCTTCTTGTTTACTACTGGTGGTTGGCTTTGGTCGCAGTACCGCCACCTCCTGCTCTGGAGTGTAATCACTTCCCCTATGAGAAAAAGGAGCAGCGCATGAACCGAACGCATCCCGAATGCAAAACCGTTCCATCCCTAACATATATATATATATATATATATATATATATATATATATATATATAAATATCTTTTTGTTTACTCTTGTGTGAACAAAATGACAAATAAAATCTGTCTAAGTCTAACTGTTGAAAGCCTTTTTTCAATAATATTACCGATGAAGGGCAGGTTAGAGATGGGCCTGTAATTCTGAAGGACCAATTTGTCCTAGCTTATCTTTTCAACAATAGTTTAATAATTGCTTTTTTTAAGGCTCTGGGGGGAAACACACGACATTAGGGATGTGTTTATGATTTTAATCAAATCAGGCTATAAAACAGGCAAAATCTTCCTAATAAAACCTGAGTGTAAAACATCAAGACAGCAGGAAGTGGAGCTTCGCTGCTGAACAGTTTATTAGGCAGAATGGGGACATTTTGAGTTTATTTTAACTGGAGACAGCATTGAGGTGCGGACTGCTTTTCTGATATCATGTATTTTTCTAGTAAAAAGTTTGCAAAGTCCTTCATTGCAGGCCTTTTAGTGCTTCTGTCTGCTTCTGTCTCCTTGAACCCCAGTGGGCCTCAGCAGCCTGGTTCTGCTGGAGGTTCCTTCCTGTTCAAGGGGAGTTTTTCCTCTCCACTGTCGCTACAAGCATGCTTAGTGTGAGGGATTGCTGAAGACTCAATGAGTCGATGCAATCAGCTGGTTTTCCTTAGATAGAAAACTTTGAATCAATCTGACTGGATGATCTGGTTGACTTGTCTCTGTAAAGTGACCTGAGATGACATGATGTTAACTTTTGCTAGAGAAATAAACTGAATTGAATTGATCTGTGAAGTTTCTCTGTATAGATTTCATAATGAACTTTGAGTCCTTTCTTTCTCCACCTTTCTTCAGGTTTCCTTCAGTCCCTCTTTTCATTTCTCGCTGCTGGAGCATTTCTCCATGGGGATTTAATCTTCCCAGAGGCATCCTTCACTCAACCAATGGAATCAATGATGTGTGCAACTTTCAATTAAATTCAGTTGACTTTATTTCTATAGCGCCAATTCACAACACGTCATCTTAAGGCACTTTACAGTTCACCAGATCGTACAATTAAAAAAACTATCATCCAGCTCATCTACAAGGTAAAGTGGAAGCAGAAGGGTGAGCCTGGATAAAGTTATTAATTGTACTGTCCATGATAACATGCTTTTTAAGAACATTTCTTTTGGTAATTAGATTAGTCAGAAAGATGGATTCAAAGTAAACAGAAAAATGGTCTGATAGGGAAACACCAGTTACCGAAACATTAGAAATCTTTAGACCTAAATAGTATTTCGATTGTAAGTTAGCTGTTTGATTGTTGAGTTAAACCAACATTTTTAAGTGTATCACACATTTATTTTGCTCCGCTATCTTTAGGGTTGTCAACATGTACATTAAAGTCCTCCACAATAATTGTCAAGATGCAGAACAGAGAATCCAGTATTGAGTCAAGACAAACGGTGGAATTATTCAAAAAGCGTTTATTTAAAGACAGGTCAGTGAAGCTAGGGCATCTGAGGTAGGAAACTCTGCAGGAGAGAAACACAGGTTAGTGACTACGTAAATCTATCAGAGAAAGAAGATGAACGGGAGTCACTAACCTGATTTAAAAGTTCAGTCCACGCCCGGAGAGCAAGGCAGAATTCAGCCGGTAGCTGCCAAAAAGATGCAGCGAGACCTGTCCATAGTGTCCCAGATGTTGCAGCCCTGGAGAACATGCAAGTGTTCAAAGCCAGGTCAGGGAAACAGATCAAAACAGGCAGGCTCAGAGGTCCAGGAGTCTGAAGCCAGGTCAGGCAAATAGAACAGGAACAAGAACAGACAAGCTCAGAGATCCAGGAGTCCAAAGCCAGCTCAGGCAAACAGAACAGAACAGACAGGCTCAGAGATCCAGGAATCCAAAGCCAGCTCAGGCAAATCTTTATCTCAGTGTTTGGAGACACTGGTAGGGTTGGCACCAGCAGGATCTGCACCAGCAGGGTCGTATCATTTCCATTACAAGCATTTACTTCAACATTAACATTGATTGATTGGTTAATTTCCAAGACAGCCATATATATAAAAAGAAATACTAATTTCTTCAGATCAGTGTTATGATCATGGTCTAATGTGTTTGGCCCACATGCAGAAGCACTCTCAGAGACTGGAAAAACGATCGATTATGGTCAGAATGGTGGTCATTCCTTTAGAGGTAGGTACCCCGGTGATGAAGTCAATGGCTATATGCGACCAGGGCCATTTAGGAGTGGGCAAAGGTAGTAGCAGACCAGATGGGGGCTGATGCGAGGACTTGTTTCGAGCACAGGTCGGACAGGCTTACACAAACTCTTTAACATCCTTTTGAATGGAAGGCCACCAGAAGTGCCGGTTGATAAGGGCCACTGTCCTACTGACGCCTGGATGACCTGAGAACTTTGAAGAGTGCAACCAGTTGATAAAATGGGCACGAATAGCAATAGGTACATAAATCTTATTGTGGGGACCTGTCCTGGGATCAGGTTCTGACTTCTGTGCTTGCCTTACCAGGTCCTCAATCTCCCAGGTAACAGTGGCAACAGAACAGCTAGCAGGAAGAATAGGAGGCGAACTGTCTAGATAGAGCGTCAGGCTTAACGTTTCTGGAACCTGGACGAAAGGAAATGGAGAGGTTAAACCATGAGAAGCACAACGACCAACGGGATTGATGAGGGTTGAGCCTCTTAGCGGACTGAAGGTATGACAAGTTCTTGTGGTCTGTCCAAACATCAAACAGGATGTTCTGCGCCCTCTAGCCAGTGTCTCCACTCCTTAAGGGCTAGTTTGATTGCTAGCAGCTCTCGGTCCCCAGCATCATAATTTCTCTCGGCTGGTGGCAGTCTGCGGAAATAATAGGTACACGGATGAATCTTATGATCAGAATCTGACATCTGGGAGAGGACAGCTTCAACTCCAGAGTCTGAAGCGTCCACCTCTAGAAGGAACTGTTTAGCAGGATCTGGTTGAATGAGAACAGGAGCATTAACAGGGTCTTTAACTGGTTAAAAGCTGCGTCA